GGCGCATATTTTTTGTGACATTTTAATTCTTAATTATTACTCATTCGAGTAATCATACTAATTCCTATTGATATCACTCATGAACATTACATCTTTCCACACTGGTAACACACTGTGGAATTATTCTTTATTTAGCTAAGACAACAATTGAATTTTGTAGTTAAATAACATTCAACATTGTACTCAACATTAATTAGCTAAACTTACCCTTTTATTACGGAAAAAGGAATTTTTTCTTTATACTATTGTTGATATTTGTATATCATTGTTAATACAATATTTTATTAATGTTCACTGAGCTTGATTATTTTCTCTCGTGCATGATTCATGTGGGGTGTTGTTTTACAAGAACACAGCTTTCCTTCTTGATTATATTCACGGTGACCCTAGCCAACAATTCTTACAGCACCACTACAAGCAAACACAGGTGATCCCATTATTGAATTAAGTAGACCACGTGACCCTAGAGGAAACGCATATTCGAGATCGGCTTCCTTGCATCTAGAAATTCCTGTCGTCTGTTTAGGAACTCACTCAACTACAAACTACGAATCTTCTGAGCCCTGAAGAAATCTTATGTGAATGTTACTGTTAGCGTTAAAAGTGTGGGGTTCAGCGTACCAAAATTAAAGGAGAATTTAATACGGGATACCCTGCCCACAAAATACAACGCAAATTTCAAGAAGAAACAACACGATAAGGAACGTTTGTAGAAAATAGAACATTGTATATTTATTATCTTGTGAATAGGGTAAAAAAGATTAATGTTTTAGTTCGTTTAAGCAAAAATGTGATTTTGACAGAAAATGTCTGTGTTCGCTGTCTTTCAACAGAGTAATGTCTGTTTCTTTTGTTTTTGTATAGTTGTAAAGGAAAAAGGGGCGAGCAATTTAAGTTGAAAAAAAGAGAGTGTGAATGAGGAATAAAGATAAAAGGAAAATGTACTTATGAATTGTTTTGGAGTCAGTTGTAAATTTGTTGTTGTTGTTGTGGTGGTTGTTCTTTCCTACTCCACTTTCGGCTCTTAGTGTCGGGTTGAGTCAGTGATGGAATTTACTGTCAATCTTCTGTGATCTTTTGCGCCCTTCTCTGATTGACTGACTGACTGACTTGAAAACTCTGTATTTATTGTTGACTTTTTTTCACACTGGCTCGTTATCTTTTTTTTTTGGTTTAGCAAATCGCCTCCTTTCATTGGTCAGAAAATTAATTTCACACCTTATTGCGAAATCTGTTTTTAATCGTTTTGATCCGATTTTGCGGGTGTGCAAATCTACTTTGTGTTTTTTAGTCAGTTGTTGGAATGATATAGAATTTGTATCCTATAAAAGTAGCAAAATGATATTTTTTTAATTTCTCTATAAGAAATCTGGTATGTAATGGCCCAGAGGGTAGATGGATCGATACTATTGTAGTGGAAATGTCGGTAAATTTTAGATACTTGCGTGTTATTTTTCCACAAACAAATTTAGAAGAAAACTGTTCAAACATATATCATGCAATACAGAACAAAAAACAAATAATGACGAACATAATATTTGAACGAGAACAAATTCAAATTATTATTATACACATCTATATACAAATTATGAGTTGTAATAATGTTTGAATATATGAACTGGGAGTTTAGAGTTCATGTGTTCGTATCAAGTCGACTGAAATTGTTCTTCGGTCGAGATTGTTCGTACAGAGAATTAAATTGTTGCCAAAATACAATTTAACGATTGCTTTAGGGCAGTGGTTCTCAACCTTTTTTTACCCATGGACCCCTTTCCCCTTCTTTTTATCTTGGTGGACCCCTTCATAGCTATTGGACATAAGAACAATTTTCTATTCTTCACTAATATAAATTTTAAGGTTTTAATTATCAAAGAAATAGTATACGATTAAGCTTTATTTTTAAATGAAAACTAATTTAATACAAATAAAATATTCTACTATAATTATAATAATAATTATTATTACTATTTTTAATTAACACAACAATTGAGTTTTGCCTGTGGACCCCCGGAAATATTACATGGACCCCTAGGGTCCATGTAGACCCAGGTTGAGAACCACTGCTTTAGGGTGTAATGTGTGTGTGCAGGAAAGGAAAAATAAATCGTACAAAGTAGCGTACCTTTATATGTTGAGTGAGATAATATTTTCTTCGTAGTTGATTGGGAGAAACGACTCTTGTGTTATATTAATCTCAGCTCAGACGTTCATTTCAATGAGTTTGCTATTATAGAAAAAGGAGTTTTTTTCCTAAATTCTTGAATTCAGATTTGGCTGAATTTCAAAAGTAAGCTGTGGCGAATTGACTTGAAGACATTTTTTCGCAGATCGACGAAACGTGTGTTCGTGTCGATTCAAAGAGTCGCGCAAAACTGCTGAATCTCTAAAGAGAAGAACCGCGTTCCTTCCTGTTGCAATGTTCGCGCCTTGGCGGGAACATGCACCGACCGAACTGATTGGTTGACCTAGCCTCGACGGACCCGATTCGCCAACACATGATACAGGAATGGTTCATTTAAAATTTTGGGGTGTCAACCGTGTATGGATTATCCTAACACTATTTATATTTTTATACTTTCAACGTACAGGATTCAAGTAAACAACAAAAACTCCAAACTGTGAATCAACAAGTATATACTGAAATAACATACAAGGACAAACATGTAATAAAATTGTATTCAATGTTAAGAGAAAGAAGTTGTTCCCTTTTAATTGTATTTTGATTAGTAATTGATTGTTCGAAGAAGGTTCTCGCGAGAGAAAAATGTTCAGGAATCAATATTAGAACAAAGATCTGTTTGTTAGAATAGATAACACAAGAATACAATTGATCAAAAATGTGTTGTGTTATAGAATGGTTCGAAATTAACAGAGTCCTGGTTGATTGAGCTTGGCTAAGTCACATAGAGAAGTGTGAGTTTATATTACGAAATTCTGTGTCTGTGTGTGCGTTTGTTATGGGTAAGATCGTGGACTCGTTTGGACAGGCGAAACTTACTGGATCCTACTGACGACTTATGAAAAAGTCGCCTCTTTTAAGGAAAAAGAATAGGCTCCCACAGTAGCACGGGAAAAGGTTAATCTTGCACTAAAGTATGTGATTGGTCAAAAATTAACCAATCACTACATTCGTACTAACAAAACAGGCAAGCAAGCTCAAAACCGAAGGATTCAAAGAAATGACTGCTAAATTGTCCTATAGAAAAGTAGTATTGATTTATTAACCAATCGCAGACCAATAAAATGTGGGCGTGGAAAAACATAGCAATCGCTACAGGTAAAAATTCAACATAAATTTTCTATTTGTTAGAAATTGGAATACAGATTACGCAAAAAAGTAAATAAAGTTGGTCATTCGTGTATTTACTTTTAAGGATTAAAGTTTCATAGACAAGAATATGAAATTAAATTTAAGGGAAAAATGTTAAATTAATCTCCCAGTAACAAGAACAAGTTTCTTAAACCATAATTTTTTACCGAATTTCGCACACACACAAAATGTACTTGCAATGAAAACATAAAAATAAAATAATTTACCAAGTTTGAAGGAAATAAAATAAATAAATCTTATACTTACTTAAATTGAATAAGATAAAAATATTATTCCAAAAAACCCGTGTTGACTTTTAAACTTGCTCCTACAACTTACCTGAGAACTTGCAACTGAAATACCTGTCGTCTGTCTACGAACTCACTCAAATACAAACTACGGATCTTCTGATTGTTTCTCCATCATCAAGAGCTCTTAAGAAATCTTATGTGAGTTACTGTTGGTTAACCCCTTAAGAACAATTTACTTGCTTAAAAATCTTTTAGGAGCCCAGAGAAATGTTTTGTTCAAGCCTACATGAACACGTTTTCTTACTTTAAGTTAAAAGGAATTTTCTTCTCCCTTTTTTCCCCCTCATATTTTGTATGTATCCCTTTTTACATTTTTTTTTGTGGATAAACATTTTCTTTTTCTATTGTTACACCCCGAGCAGGAGTTTGTTGTGAGTCTCTTTATTCTTCTTCTGCCTAAAAGAGAGAATTGTCCGCTCTAAACTTTCAAGCCGTTGTTGCTTTTATCGATTCTGTCACCTTCAAACTTAACCCTTTCATATGGGAAAGCCGGGGCAAATTTCCCACAGAGCTTTATTGTAAAAAAAGTAAAAGAAAGAAAGAAAGAAAAGAATATCAGGGTGGTTGGCGTAGAAAATGTAACTTGGGTAGACGCCATTAAAGCGGAAGTAGCAAACTGAGTTGTCTCCCTTTGCAGTGTTGGGCTTTTGCAGAGCGCGGAGGAAAGGCGAGGAAGAAAGACGTAAAGAAATCAGAGGGAAGAAAAGCTCCCAAAATTGCTATAAAGGGCATAAAATAAGCAAAAATTACATATTCGGGAGAGAGAGAAGAAAGGACTCTGCATTTTTCTGCCACTTTATATATATATATTTATCATTCCCTCATTTTTTTACCGAATCCAAGAAGGAGTACCTCAAGAAAAAGAAAAAGTTTTGCAAAAAAAAAACTAACGAGGCAAAATAATTATTTCGTTTTTTTGTCTTCTCTCCACTTTTATTTTTCTAATTATTTCTAAAGAAAAAAAGGAATCGAATATTTCCTCCAGTTTAAAAGAAAAATTGATAAAAAAAAAGAAAGAAAATCTTTTTATATTTAAATTCTTTGAATTTAATTTGACATTTTTGGCGAATGAGTTAAAAAAAAATCACAACTTAAAGAACAGAATTTACATGTTTACAAATAAGTTCGATCAAAAAAGAAAAGAAAATGAGATTTATTTAAATATTAAAAAAAATAAAATAAAAAAATAGTAACAAAATTGACAATTCTAGTCAAATATAAAAAGACCAAAAAAATTAGAAAAAAATTTAAAAAATCATATAAAAAAAAAAAAATTTTAATTTAAAAAAAGACTGAACTTTAGGAGAATTAAAAAAAAAAACAAAACAAAAAAAAAAAGCCCCCCCCTCCTCAAAAAAAAAAAAAAAAAAAAAGAAAGAATGGCAGAAAGTCTTGGAGCCAAATTAGAGAAATACACCCACGAAAATATCTTTTTACACAAATACTGCATTCTCAAGAAGAAATGCGATGTTCTACAACAGGTAAAAATAAAATTCATTTTATTTATTAATCACTTTTTTTTTTTAATTAATTTTAAAGGAAATGAATTGATTACAATAATAATTGAACAATATTTTATTTGGTTTCTTAAATGTTGAAAAAAAACATGTTTTACACTGCAAAAAAAAAAATAGAAAAGATTTCTACAGTTGAAAATAATTGAGGCGACAAAAGGAGGGAATAGTTTGCCAAGATAATCTATATTTTTTTTTTAGAGAGACTGAAACAATATTTCTAGCTTCTTAGTCTTAAATTAAAAATGATTGTTGCATCGTTTTTTTTATTATTAAAAAATGTAAACAAGAAATTTAAAACAAGAATAAGAAAAAAAAATCTCTTTATCTTCCTAATAATAAATAAATTGTGATACATATTACCAAAAAAATAATGACTTCACGTAAATTCTCCAAGTACCTCTGCTTATAACTAATAATTAAAAGCTGCACAATAACAAAAATAAATTTCTTGAAATTTCATAAAATTACATAAGTAAAAGTTGGAGGTGGGGGTATGTATTTTTATGAAGATTTCTAAAAAAAAAAAGTGTTTCTAAAAATGATTTCATTTGTGAATAAGTTCTGAAAGTTTCATTTAAAAATCCAACAAGTCTCTGATTTTTGCAAGAATTACCAAATCAATGTTTTTCGCCACAAAAAGACACTTAACTAAAATTTCCCATAGCAATTTTAATTTTATGGTCACCCGTTGACGAGGCACAAAGATTTTTTTTTTTTTTAACCCAAATTTTGAAGGTTCTAAAAAGGATTTAAATGTATAATTTTAATTTAATAATCAAAAATGAAAATCCTTTTTGGTCTTTCCTAACATATTTTGACGAGAAAACTTTGTTTCTATTAAAGTTTTTTTTGGTGGGGTGGGGAATATTCATCATGTATAGTTTGCATACTCACGATTCTTTGGACTTGGATATATATATACACACACACATATTCTGTTCTTACATACATACATTCTGTTCTTCATCGTTTCACAAACACGAAAAATTGTTCTACCAAATAAGAAAAAACACTTTTGGGGATCTTATTTTTAGAGTTGTACTAGAACTGAGGAACTTAGCTCTGTATTTTTACATCGAACACTATTTTAAACCGCAGCACGCACTGTGCAGTTTTTATATATATAATTTTAGTCCTGACTTTTCTTTGGAATTACCAATGTTTGTGTGTGTGTGTCCTTAGAGACTAAAGAAATTGATTACTGTGTTTTTTTTCTTTCTTTACTAAGCTAGCATGTTCAGACCTTTAAATTTGGTAACGTGTTTTTTTTTTTATTAAAAGCGACAAAAGGTCAGTTTGTTTTCGCTTAAAACTGCTGAAACCTGTCAGCATTTTTTTACCATGGCAATAAAAAAAATGACGTCGTCATAAAAAAAATGAAATTAAATATCTTTTCGTAAGTTCTTCAAGCACGAATTGATGAAAGAGCTTTAATAAAAAGAAAAAAAAAGGGTTATTGTTTGGGTTAAATTAAAAATGTATCCTAAAGTAAAACTGTCAGTTATCTACTGTTAGTTATCATTTAAAGTAGTGACAACAGATAGAATCAAATTTTTCTGCTGCCAAAATATATTTTTTTAAACCTTTTTTGTTTTTTTTATTGTTAAACAAACTAAAAAGAAAACATTAAAAAAAATAATTCATAAACTAAAAGGAGAGAAAAAAATGCAAAAAAAAACATTTGTAAAATTTTGCGCATGAGAAAAAAACAAACAAATGTTTTGAAAAAAATGACGATTATCTTTTCAATCTATGGATGTCTCTAAGTTTGATTTTATTTTGTTTCTGCTTAACGGCCTTTCAACTACTTCAGGGTTAAGAGCAGATAAAGATTTTGAATCGTGGAATCGTGGTTGTTTTGGTTGGATATACCTACATTTTTATATGTGGATATAGTTTTTTTTTTCTTGGTGGAAGTGGGTAGGTACAGGTTCGTTGGTGAAAGTTTTTTTTTTTTTTCTTTTTAGTCAGTTTATATTTCCAAGAAGAAATTCTATTCGTTATTTTGATTTCAAGATGAATCTTCAGGTATCAGAAAAAATTTTCACTTCATTATTAAATTTTTGACAAACATGGACATTCATGTCTGTAAAAAAAAAAAAGTGTCAAAAGGGTGGTTTTTTCCATGACACCGTTTTTAATTTAACTCCCTTCACTCTTCGTCAATGTTTGTTCCAAAAAGCGACGATTAAAATTGTAATAAAACCTAAACATGATGAAAGTGAATTTATACTTGTTCTTGAGAATTGGCAACAAAATTAAACAATTTATCTGATTCTTTATTTTATTCGAATGGTTGGTAAAACACAAGCTAATTACCAATCGATTCAAACTTCATAAAATGGTAAATAATAAAGGTTTTCTTATAGTTCAGGTAATAATGTTTACAGTGTAACCCGGATATAAGAGAGTTGGCGGGACTGGAGAAGAAGTCTCTTATATCCGGGTTTGGTCTAATTTATATACATTAACACAGGCTCTAATTTGGGACCAGAGAAAATCTCTCTTATATCCGGGTTACACTGTATAAATTTATGAATAAAAAAATTGTTTTCATATTTCTTTATAAATTGGTAAATGATAAATATTGAAACATTACTTTTAATTGGATTTGCTTTTTGAAAGTTGTATGGCAAAATTATAATAAGCAATCAAATAGTGTTTAAAATATTTTTATTGTAAATTCTCAAGGACAAAAAAAAACTCCAAAATGTATAAATTCACTTTTTATTAGGTACCACTGCAGAAAACTAAGGTTTAAAATGAATTTTTAAAAATGAAAATTGAAGTTTTTATTTAATTTTAATTTCAAGCTAATGGATTAAATTTAATATTTCTAATAATCAGCATACTTTGCTGTATTTCAAAACTGATTTAAATTCACTGAAAGGAGTTTTTTTTTCTTTGCTAAAATGGCTGATTAGTGCTACCCTCCTTATTTTTTCTTTTTTTTTTTTTTTAGTCTTTCTTTGCAATGTAATTCTCTTTTTATTAAAAAAATCTTCCAAAAATAAAATATACTTTTCTGAAATTTTATTTGATGAATATTAACTGATTGAAACATAATTAATCTGATTTGAAACAAATATTATTTACTTTAAGTTTAAAATATTGTAGAAATAAAACATTTTTTAAGATGTTTGTTTGCTGACAACGTTAACAAGTCTAATCTACAAAAATCGGCAGGTTTATACAAATGCAAAAAAATTAAAAATTCTTTTAAAAATATTGCTGTTTGATGATTTGTATTAAACTTTCCCATTTATGATTAGTAAATATAGTTTAATAATAACAGGCTGAAATTAATACAGAATTTTAAAGGATTTAAAACTTAATAAATCATTCTAAAAATTCTTAAAAATTCATTATCAAAAAATTTTTTTATCAGTGGACCAGTTTATTTAAATAAATGCCATGTATATAAATAAATAGATGGACAATGAAGTCTTGTGTGTGATGTTTTTGTACTAACTGATGCAAATGACTGAAAGCATCTTTGTTTTTTTTTTTTCTTGAGCTGCTGATAGTACAATTAGACCTTTGTAGCTTCAGGGCAATACTCTGTTTACTGCCTAGTTCATTGTCCTTTCTTTGAATTTCATCAGAAGCTGAGTTCGTTTGCATGAGACGTTACCCTTCTCATCAATATTTACAGTAACAGATCTCAGTGGCTTTGACTTGAGCCTTAACGTTTCCAGTCTTGTTGAGATATAAATATCTCTGTTAACACTTTTGCAGCAGCATTGTTATAGCATTGTTGCCTGGCTGTTCTGGCCCATTTTGAGAAAGACAAATTGCCATTTACTGGGAATAAATGACTATAAAGAGGTAAAACTACAGTACCCAACTTTTTTTTGCCACAGACCAGAGTCATGCAGGACAATTTTTCCACAGACCAGGTGGAGTGAGGAATCAGTGTTGGTTACGAGTTTAGCAAAACAATAAACAAGACCATGTTAGTCAATAATATGAAAAAAAGAAAAGAAACGTTTTAATTCTTTCTTTGCGGCCAGGTAACAAATGGTTCCTGGCTCAGTGGTTGGGGACTGCTGCTATAAAAGTCTTAACTGCAGTGAGCTGCCAATGTGGTGAGGATCATGCTTTTGTTGATGCATTCTTATTGCATTATTGCCTGGCTGTGATGGCCTGTTTTCAGAAAAAATTTGAAATTGTCATTTACTGGAAATGTCTATAAAGAGACTTTCTTATTTTGATCAGGATATTAATAACATGTGAACATTTGGTGTCTCTCTTTACTGAGGACATTTTTTTTAACTTTAACTAATCTAAGGTCCAATTCTGCATGAACATTTTTCTCCATCCAGTTTCATTTATTTATTAGAAGCATAAGAAAAAGGACTCCTGCACAGTGTAAAATTGTTTATTTACCGTAATTTTGGTAAATATATCTGTTAAAATGAGATGCCAGTGTTATTTTCATTTGTGTGTTATTTAGACGACAATTTATCCATCGCACCCGGTATGTCTGTTAAAATGAGGTCTGCATTATTTTCATTTTGGCACCATTTAGACGACAATTTATCCATCGCACCCTGTGTAATATATATATATATATATATGGTTTTCAGGCACTTTCCAAAGGTACAGCACTCTGGGATTGAATCCTCAAGTCCGATAACATCTGGAAGTTTCCTTACTGACAAATCAGCCATGGTGAGATTTGAACCTGGGTCTCATGGCCAGTATGCTGTTTTAAGCCGTCAATAGCTGTGCTAGCACAAAATCACAAGCCATTGTGGCGGAGTGCTTGAGCTTGCTGTCCTTGTTCAAATTGTTGATCATACTAGATAACACGCTTTTCTCAGAAACTGTACTAAGTCTGCTCAGCATAGTTGCAGTATAAACCACAAGTGGGCTCTGTGGGTGTTGAATAAACACAAATGCACCTGAGCAAGCATCTGCAATAGGGATTGGCTAGCCGCCCTAGTAGACGAACATCCTCA